TTATATAGTGTATGGTAATTATTTACATGGTGTATGGATATCCACTTATATGGTGTATGGAAATTATTTACATGGTGTATGGATATCCCCTTAATATAGTGTATGGTAATTATTTACATGGTGTATGGATATCCCCTTTATATAGTGTATGGTAATTATTTACAAGGTGTTTGTATATCCACGTATATGGTGTATGGTTATTATTTAAATGGTGTATGGATATCCACTTATATAGTGTGTGGTAATTATTGACATGATGAATGGATATCCACTTATATGGTGTATGATAATTGTTTACATGGTGTATGGGTAGTTATTTATATAGTGCATGATAGTTGTTTACATGGTGTATGGGTAATTATTTATATGGTGTATGATAATTATTTACATGGTGTATGTTTATCTATCTACAGAACACTTGAGCATGATAACCTTTTTTAAATTACATACAACCTTTGGACAGGGTAATTTGATGTTGATATTTACAGATTCTGTACATTTCCTTGTTTCTCAGCTTTTGAAAAATAAACATAAACAAACACACCAGTTGACATGTTAATTCTGAGCAGGCCAGAATGCATTCCCAGGGACATTGTACAGTATAGATTAATAAACAATAAAGGTACAATTATAAGTTTTCATTTTATGGCATTTTTTTCTGATCAATTTTATACACTAAATCTCATGTTTAATTTATCAAGATTTGTTTCTCCTCACACTTGCTTTATCTCACCTGAGTCGATACTAGCAAATTCTTCTTTTGGAGCGATTAAACCTCTCTTTGTTTTCTTGCAGGCAATTTGGTCGTCGTTTCCAAAGGAATATCGGAAATGGAACTCTGACATGTGACAACAGTTATGTGAGGCACTAAGGGCAATCTTCCGGTCCCTTGTTGGATTACATTCTTGACAGCATATTGTTTTCTACAAACAAAAACGTATCCATGGAAAAATGCTATGTAAGAGTTATTATCTCCCTTGATTATATTTTTTTGAAATTGACATTATCTGATGAAGTTGCAAGAACTTGTTTGAAAGAACAATTCATTTGTAACTGCCTTATTAGGAGAAATCCAAATTCATAAGAAGAAATATACATGGGTGTGTTTATGGTTTCTTGATCAAGGAAAAGGTATGTTTACTGCAATTTCTTGCAATAACATCATAACACTAGTAATTTGGTAATTTGGCAGGGAATCAAGCTTATTGATGGAGTGACATTAACAGTAAGCACATAATACTAAGCGTGAGTTTTATCTGAAGCTGTCGATAATTTCAAACTTAAGCATAAGGCAAGGTTCATGAAAATCAAATAATTCCCTCACAAGTGATCATCCAGAATCCATTCGCCAATCAGATTGCAGCAGCTTAATTAAATTTGCATACATTTGGTAAAGGGATTTTGGTTTCCAATATTTAGTTAATAAAACTTTATAACAAGCAATACGTACCTTTATAATTGATAACAGGTAATACCATGTTGATAACAATACCATGTTTATAAAGTTGACAGGTAATACCATGATTAAAATATGTACAGTAGGTATGATATTTTGCTTATCCATCTTACAATTTACATCAAAACTTAATTCGATAATCAATTAAAAAATCCAATGAACATTCAATTGATTAACGAACAATCCAGTTTATTAATTAAAATGTCTTTTTAAATTCTTTTCTGATGCATGATTTCATTAAATACAAGATATGTGAAGACTTTTTAAGCTTTGAAATTGTGGAAAAGCAAGACAACTTAACAGTGAACATTGTGTAAAGATATCAACAAGATGTGTTACAAATACTGGTATTCCGTCTTTGCGTATTGCAGAGTTATCTTCTCTTGTGAGCAGGAATTGATTGTTACGTCATTGGTTTGTGTGAGAAAATTACGTCGTTTTCTCAAAAATTGATGACGTTACTCTCACAAACAAATCAGGAAACAATCAATACCTGCTCACAAGAGCAGATAACTCTGCAATATGCAAAGACGGAATAATAAGGTATGCTAGGCAAATTTGATTGAAAACTGATTATTACTTCAAAAGATATTATAATCCTGGTACTATTCGCCGATTGGATTGCAGCAACTTCATCAACTATGCACCTACTGAGCTAACAAAGCACCAAGCAAGAATGAGTGACTACTTGGGTAGAAAATATACCACACCACTTTCATCTACTTGCTAAATTCTCCAATGATATTGTCTAAATAAAATGCATGTTATCCAAGATGGTGGTTGAAAGAGTTAATGGGTTTTAGACCCCATTTAAAACTGAACTTGAGTAGGAAGTTGATACTACATTAGACATATTGCCACTAAATTCACTTCAGGGACTTAACATTTTAAATCGCCAATTGTATTTAATTTCACATGCAGTTTAAAATCAAATTTTATGATTAGATGTTTTTTTAGTTGTAAATAAGAGATTTTCTTCTCAAAAATTTGGAAATATGTATTATCTAGTGTTGTGTGAATAATGATACTGAGATATATACATTATTACATCTCATAAAAGTCAATAGCCTAAGGATATATGGGTGGATATGAAGAGAGTTATATTAGTCAGGAGGGGCACAGAATAGTCACAATATCTAGAGAAACTTACAATTGCATAAACTTTCTTCGAAATTAACATCCCACTCAAAATTGTTGTGACGTTGTTGAAGGTGACAGTAAGCGCGCCTTTCATGTTGCTATTAACAACACGAGCACTGATCACAATGGCGGGGAAACCTGAGAAGATAATTCATGCATTCAGTAAGTATGTATCAAAACCCAATTAGTACAAAACAAACAGAGAACCTGAGCTTTGATTGACCTATATTACATAATGTATTAAATCTCAGAACCTGAGCTTTGATTGATCTATATTACATAATGTATTAAATCTCAGAACCTGAGCTGTGACTGCCCTATATTACATAATGTATCAAGTCTCAGAACCTGAGCTTTGACTGGCCTATATTACATAATGTATTAGATCTCAGAACCTGAGCTTTGATTGATCTATATTACATAATGTATTAAAACTCAGAACCTGAGTTTTGACTGACCTATATTACATAATGTATCAAGTCTCAGAACCTGAGCTTTGACTGAACTATATATTACATAATGTATTAAAACTCAGAACCTGAGTTTTGACTGACCTATATTACATAATGTATTAAATCTCAGAACCTGAGCTTTGACTGACCTATATCACATAATGTATCAAGTCTCAGAACCTGAGCTTTGACGGACCTATATTACATAATGTATCAAGTCTCAGAACCTGAGTTACAATTAATCAACTTTCATATAAAGTAACACGCCACAAGTCTTTAATGTTTCATCTTCTTCGTTTCCTATTAGATTAAATTATTTTCGATAAAGGACTTTGTATGGTTTGGGCGTGTTTTGGCCCCCAAATGCATCAAAATTCAAAACCTTTTAAATGAACTTTGAAATGACTGTTTCTATAATTTTGAATACTTCCCCAGTACTATTATGTAAACATTTATTTGTGTTTTCAATTTTGGCTACCATATAACCAGGTCATAAATAATTGAAATTTGATTATTCAATCAATTTTGACAGGTTTTCACCTAGTTTTTTTCTTAGCTACCATAAAGTGCACTCTTGAACAAACTTTATATTTCTCCTAAAGATGTATTACAGGTGCCTTCACATTATCCTTTCATATTAAGTTTGTTCAAGCATGCAACCTAAAGTTTCTAGGAGAAAAACTATGCAAAGTATCACAATATTCACTGAATATTCAAATTTTCAAATTTATGCAAATTTGAACTTGTTACCATGGCAACAATATTTAAGAAATATAAATAAATATTTTAATAATAGTATTTGGGAAGTATTCAAAATTAAAAAAACAGTCATTTCAAAGTTCATTTAAAGGTTTTGAATTTTGATGCATTTGAAAGCCAAAACACGCCCAAACCATATATAGTCCTTTGATGACCTTATTTGAAACCGACTCTAACTAAAAAATTACACTCCATAATAGATATATATATATATATGGTATCTACTGGTAATGTTGATTTAATTGTCTGTGACTCTGTTCCAAAAATGCCAAAAGTTACTGTTCATGTCATTCCCATATATATAGGCCACAATGTTCAATTTTGGTGTAATATGTTTGAGCCAATTTACTCATTACAGTCAGAAATTGATAATTACATATCATTACTAATAGAAGTGTTGGATAACTGCCTAGCTTCTTGCTGAATGCATTGAAATGGGATGAAAGCAAGAGGCTCAATGGGCCTATATCGCTCACCAAAAGTAGGTCAAGGTCATGTTCAAATTCAAAGTTCAAATAGTATATTTAAGTCTCACCAACCATAAAATATATGTACTAATACAATATTACAATATATGGAGGCCACTCTAAAATAGTGATTCTTGATAACATACATAACTGTATAAAATCATCTGCAGGGGTTATGGCATGTTTGTACTTTCTCACAGCCACATAAACCTAGACACTCCCCTTTATTGATCTCATTAGTGAAGAGTTCCACTAGGACACTAACATTGATTGATCTCAGTAGAGAGCAGTTTCACCTTGATTTTTACCTTTATTGACCTCATTAAAGAGGAGTTTCACCTGGACAGTCATTTTGACAGACCTTGTTGGCAAAGAGTTCCACCAGGACACTCAACTTGATTAGTCTCAGTAGTGAGGAGTTTTACCTGGACACTTAAAATTACCTTGATTGATCTCGTTAGAGAGGAGTTTTACCTGGACACTTAAAATTACCTTGATTGATCTCGTTAGAGAGGAGTTTTACCTGGACACTTAAAATTACCTTGATTGATCTCGTTAGAGAGGAGTTTTACCTGGACACTTAAAATTACCTTGATTGATCTCGTTAGAGAGGAGTTTTACCTGGACACTTAAAATTACCTTGATTGATCTCGTTAGAGAGGAGTTTTACCTGGACACTTAAAATTACCTTGATTGATCTCGTTAGAGAGGAGTTTTACCTGGACACTTAAAATTACCTTGATTGATCTCGTTAGAGAGGAGTTTTACCTGGACACTTAAAATTACCTTGATTGATCTCGTTAGTGAGGAGTTCCACCAGAACCATGACAGGGCCCTGACGTAGGATGAGTCCAGACTTCCACAACAACACCATCTGGGAAGCCTCGTTTAATTTCCTGTAAAACAATCCAGAAGAATCTGTTGATTGACATAGTAATTTCAAACAACTTAATACTCTAAATGTAAACAAATGATCTATGGAAATCAAGGTTAACTAAACAAGGGATATTCTGTGACCAATACATTTAAATACAAAAAAGGTCCTAGATTTGCCTAATAATTACTATACTATACTGAGGAAGTCTGGTAAGAACAGCTGAGGTAGGCTAGGGAAAGTGAAGTTAGTGTCTCTGTATTGTTTACCTGAGGAAGCATGGTAAGAACAGCTGAGGTAGGCTAGGGAAAGTGAAGTAAGTGTCTCTGTATTGTTTACCTGAGGAAGTCTAGTAAGAACAGCTGAGGTAGGCTAGGGAAAGGGAAGTAAGCGTCTCTCTGTATTGTTTACATGAGGAAGCATGGTAAGAACAGCTGAGGTAGGCTAGGGAAAGTGAAGTAAGTGTCTCTCTGTATTGTTTACCCAAGGAAGCATGGTAAGAACAGCTGAGGTAGGCTAGGAAAAGTGAAGTAAGTGTCTCTTTGTATTGTTTACCTGAGGAAGCATGGTAAGAACACCTGAGGTAGGCTAGGGAAAGTGAAGTAAGCGTCTCTCTGTATTGTTTACCTGAGGAAGCATGCTAAGTACAGCTGAGGTAGGCTAGGGAAAGTGAAGTAAGTGTCTCTGTATTGTTTTCCTGAGGAAGCATGGTTAAAACAGCTGAGGTAGGCTAAGGAAAGTGAAGTAAGCGTCTCTCTGTATTGTTTACCTGAGGAAGCATGGTAAGAACAGCTAAGGTAGGCTAGGGAAAGTGAAGTAAGCATCTCTGTATTGTTTACCCGAGGAAGTCTGGTAAGAACAGCTGAGGTAGGCTAGGGAAAGTGAAGTAAGCGTCTCTCTGGTGTTCCCCTTCCGGTAACCCTGCTGTCCATATCTCGTCCTGTGTACAGAGTTAATTTGTATAGACAGCTTTATCTAATGGAACTTTGTTCACACATATAATTAACAATACTATTGTTACAAGTGAAATTATAATGCTCATTTACATTTATTAGGAAAAATTTTGTTCAAACAAAACAGCGTATTTTAAAGAATCATTTATCAATGAAGTAAGGAAATACAAGGGTAAAGATACTGTAAAAACATTCTCACAATCATTATTTAGTGCATCCCATTGATCATTTTACAAATTTTAATTCTGAAATCAGTTAAATCTGCTTATCTGCCATGGCTGTGATCAGTGCCATGTCCTTGTCAGTCTGTGTGCTCTTATTATTTTCCTAAACATTCAGGTCAGTAATTACGATACACATATGTTATCATTTTTTAATGACTCTTTTGCCTCCTACACAAAATGAAAAAATGCACAATATTGGCATAATAGTATTTTTCTTTTATGGTTCTTATATGATTGTGATTCATGTATCTACAAAACTATACAATACTAACCAGCGGTACACCTGGGGTGTCAGGGAGATCTTCAGTCATCACAAAGGTAAGTGCATCTGAAAATCTGGAATCTTTCATGGGCCAAGCAAATCTAAACATCATTCCCATGTCTAGTAGAATATCCATAAAAGTATTTCTCTGTGTCTGAAAAAGAAAATTGGAAAACAATCAATTACAAGAAATGGAAAACGACTATTTTGCTAGTAACAAACGACCTCATGAACTTGATCAGTTTAACCTGCTACAGGTGACCTATGACCCAACACATTTAAATCTAGATCAAGCCTCATTCATCAGCCACGCACCAGCAGAGCCTAAATCACTTCAATACTTTTGAGTAAAAGTAAATCCATCCCAAAATCACTTGATTGACTACTAGGAAAAGTGGTCATATTTAATCGTGAATGAGCATTGAAATGTGTCCAATCCATCTGATCTACAGCTAAAAAGAATATGACATTATAACAGTTAAACTACAAACAATTTGTAAAGGTGAACTGTCAACTGTAAAAACAGGGGAGCCTTCCTCTACAGGTGTGTCATCATAGCCTACCTATACAGGTGTGTCATTATACCCTACCTCTACAGGTGTGTCATTATAATCTAACTCTATAGTTGTGTCATCATAGCCTACCTATACATGTGTGTCATTATAATCTACCTCTACAGGTGTGTCATCATAATCTACCTCTACAGGTGTGTCATTATAATCTACCTCTATAGTTGTGTCATCATAGCCTACCTATACATGTGTGTCATAGCTTACCTATGCATGTGTCATAATAGCCTACCTCTACAGGTGTGTCATCATAGCCTACCTATACAGGTGTGTCATTATAATCTACCTCTACAGGTGTGTCATTATAATCTACCTCTACAGGTGTGTCATTATAATCTACCTCTACAGGTGTGTCATCATAATCTACCTCTACAGGTGTGTCATTATAATCTACCTCTATAGGTGTGTCATCATAGCCTACCTATACATGTGTCATCATAGCTTACCTCTGCATGTGTGTCATAGCTTACCTATGCATGTGTCATAATAGCCTACCTCTACAGGTGTGTCATCTTAGCCTACCTATACATGTGTGTCATCATAGCCTACCTATACTTGTGTGTCACCATAATCTACCTCTACAGGTGTATCATAAAAGCCTACCTCTACAGGTGTGTCATCATAGCCTACCTATACATGTTTGTCATCATAGCCTACCTATACTTGTGTGTCATCATAATCTACCTCTACATGTGTGTCATTATAACATAACTCTACAGGTGTGTTATCATAATCTACCTCTACAGGTGTGTCATCATAACCTTCCTCTACAGATGTGTCATCATAATCTATCTCTACATGTGTGTCATCATAACATACCTCTACAGGTGTTTCATCATAGCCTACCTATACATGTGTCATCATACCCTTCCTCTACAGGTGTGTCTTCATAGCTTACCTCTACAGGTGTGTCATCATAGCCTACCTCTACAGGTATGTCATTATAACCTACCTCTACAGGTGTGTCACTATAACCTACCTCTACATGTGTGTCATTACAGCCTACCTCTACAGGTGTGTCATTATAACCTACTTCTACAGGTGTGTCATTACAGCCTACCTCTACAGGTGTGTCATTATAGCCTACCTCTACAGGTGTGTCATCATAGCCTACCTCTACAGGTGTATCATCATAGCCTACCTATACATGTGTGTCATCATAGCCTACCTATACATGTGTGTCATTATAATCTACCTCTACAGGTGTGTCATTATAACCTACATCTACAGGTGTGTCATCATAACCTACCTCTACAGGTGTGTCATCATAGCCTACCTATACATGTGTGTCATCATAGCCTACCTATACATGTGTGTCATTATAATCTACCTCTACAGGTGTGTCATTATAACCTACCTCTACAGGTGTGTCATCATAACCTACCTCTACAGGTGTGTCATCATAGCCTACCTCTAAAGGTGTATCATCATAGCCTACCTATACATGTGTGTCATCATAGCCTACCTATACATGTGTGTCATTATAATCTACCTCTACAGGTGTGTCATTATAACCTACATCTACAGGTGTGTCATCATAACCTACCTCTACAGGTGTGTCATCATAGCCTACCTATACATGTGTGTCATCATAGCCTACCTATACATGTGTGTCATTATAATCTACCTCTACAGGTGTGTCATTATAACCTACATCTACAGGTGTGTCATCATAACCTACCTCTACAGGTGTGTCATCATAGCCTACCTATACATGTGTGTCATCATAGCCTACCTATACATGTGTGTCATTATAATCTACCTCTACAGGTGTGTCATTATAACCTACATCTACAGGTGTGTCATCATAACCTACCTCTACAGGTGTGTCATCATAGCCTACCTATACATGTGTGTCATCATAGCCTACCTATACATGTGTGTCATTATAATCTACCTTTACAGGTTTGTCGTCATAGCCTACCTATACATGTGTGTCATCATAGCCTACCTATACATATGTGTCATTATAATCTACCTCTACAGGTATGTCATTATAACCTACCTCTACAGGTGTGTCACTATAACCTACCTCTACATGTGTGTCATTACAGCCTACCTCTACAGGTGTGTCATTATAACCTACCTCTACAGGTGTGTCATTACAGCCTACCTCTACAGGTGTGTCATTATAGCCTACCTCTACAGGTGTGTCATCATAACCTACCTCTACAGGTGTATCATCATAGCCTACCTATACATGTGTGTCATCATAGCCTACCTATACATGTGTGTCATTATAATCTACCTCTACAGGTGTGTCATTATAACCTACATCTACAGGTGTGTCATCATAACCTACCTCTACAGGTGTGTCATCATAGCCTACCTATACATGTGTGTCATCATAGCCTACCTATACATGTGTGTCATTATAATCTACCTCTACAGGTGTGTCATTATAACCTACATCTACAGGTGTGTCATCATAACCTACCTCTACAGGTGTGTCATCATAGCCTACCTATACATGTGTGTCATCATAGCCTACCTATACATGTGTGTCATTATAATCTACCTCTACAGGTGTGTCATTATAACCTACATCTACAGGTGTGTCATCATAACCTACCTCTACAGGTGTGTCATCATAGCCTACCTATACATGTGTGTCATCATAGCCTACCTATACATGTGTGTCATTATAATCTACCTCTACAGGTGTGTCATTATAACCTACATCTACAGGTGTGTCATCATAACCTACCTCTACAGGTGTGTCATCATAGCCTACCTATACATGTGTGTCATCATAGCCTACCTATACATGTGTGTCATTATAATCTACCTCTACAGGTGTGTCATTATAACCTACATCTACAGGTGTGTCATCATAACCTACCTCTACAGGTGTGTCATCATAGCCTACCTATACATGTGTGTCATCATAGCCTACCTATACATGTGTGTCATTATAATCTACCTCTACAGGTGTGTCATTATAACCTACATCTACAGGTGTGTCATCATAACCTACCTCTACAGGTGTGTCATCATAGCCTACCTATACATGTGTGTCATCATAGCCTACCTATACATGTGTGTCATTATAATCTACCTCTACAGGTGTGTCATTATAACCTACCTCTGCAGGTGTGTCATTATAACCTACCTCTACAGGTGTGTCATTACAGCCTACCTCTACATGTGTGTCATCATAGCCTACCTATACAGGTGTGTCATTATAATCTACCTCTACAGGTGTGTCATTATAATCTACCTCTACAGGTGTGTCATCATAACCTACCTCTACAGGTGTGTCATCATAGCCTACCTATACAGGTGTGTCATTATAACCTACCTCTACAGGTGTGTCATTATAACCTACCTCTACAGGTGTGTCATTATAACCTACCTCTACAGGTGTGTCATTATAACCTACCTCTACAGGTGTGTCATTATAACCTACCTCTACAGGTGTGTCATTATAACCTACCTCTACAGGTGTGTCATTATAACCTACCTCTACAGGTGTGTCATTATAACCTACCTCTACAGGTGTGTCATTATAACCTACCTCTACAGGTGTGTCATCATAACCTACCTCTACAGGTGTGTCATCATAGCCTACCTCTACAGGTGTGTCATTATAGCCTACCTCTACAGGTGTGTCATTATAGCCTACCTCTACAGGTGTGTCATCATAGCCTACCTATACAGGTGTGTCATTATAATCTACCTCTACAGGTGTGTCATCATAATCTACCTCTACAGGTGTGTCATTATAGCCTACCTCTACAGGTGTGTCATTATAGCCTACCTCTACAGGTGTGTCATCATAGCCTACCTCTACAGGTGTGTCATCATAGCCTACCTATACAGGTGTGTCATTATAATCTACCTATACAGGTGTGTCATTATAATCTACCTCTACAGGTGTGTCATCATAATCTACCTCTACAGGTGTGTCATCATAACCTACCTCTACAGGTGTGTCATCATAGCCTACCTATACAGGTGTGTCATTATAACCTACCTCTACAGGTGTGTCATTATAACCTACCTCTACAGGTGTGTCATTATAACCTACCTCTACAGGTGTGTCATTATAACCTACCTCTACAGGTGTGTCATTATAACCTACCTCTACAGGTGTGTCATTATAACCTACCTCTACAGGTGTGTCATTATAACCTACCTCTACAGGTGTGTCATTATAACCTACCTCTACAGGTGTGTCATTATAACCTACCTCTACAGGTGTGTCATCATAACCTACCTCTACAGGTGTGTCATCATAGCCTACCTATACAGGTGTGTCATTATAACCTACCTCTACAGGTGTGTCATTATAACCTACCTCTACAGGTGTGTCATTATAACCTACCTCTACAGGTGTGTCATTATAACCTACCTCTACAGGTGTGTCATTATAACCTACCTCTACAGGTGTGTCATTATAACCTACCTCTACAGGTGTGTCATTATAACCTACCTCTACAGGTGTGTCATTATAACCTACCTCTACAGGTGTGTCATTATAACCTACCTCTACAGGTGTGTCATTATAGCCTACCTCTACAGGTGTGTCATCATAGCCTACCTATACAGGTGTGTCATTATAATCTACCTCTACAGGTGTGTCATTATAACCTACCTCTACAGGTGTGTCATTATAACCTACCTCTACAGGTGTGTCATTATAACCTACCTCTACAGGTGTGTCATTATAACCTACCTCTACAGGTGTGTCATTATAACCTACCTCTACAGGTGTGTCATTATAACCTACCTCTACAGGTGTGTCATTATAACCTACCTCTACAGGTGTGTCATTATAACCTACCTCTACAGGTGTGTCATTACCGCCTACCTCTACAGGTGTGTCATCATAGCCTACCTATACAGGTGTGTCATTATAATCTACCTCTACAGGTGTGTCATTATAATCTACCTCTACAGGTGTGTCATCATAACCTACCTCTACAGGTGTGTCATCATAGCCTACCTATACAGGTGTGTCATTATAACCTACCTCTACAGGTGTGTCATTATAACCTACCTCTACAGGTGTGTCATTATAATCTACCTATACAGGTGTGTCATCATAATCTACCTCTACAGGTGTGTCATTATAATCTACCTCTATAGGTGTGTCATCATAGCCTACCTATACATGTGTCATCATAATCTACTTCTGCATGTGTGTCATAGCCTACCTATGCATGTGTCATAATAGCCTACCTCTACAAGTGTGTCATCATAATCTACCTCTACAGGTGTATCATAATAGCCTACCTCTACAGGTGTGTCATCATAGCCTACCTATACAGGTGTGTCATTATAATCTACCTCTACAGGTGTGTCATTATAATCTACCTCTACAGGTGTGTCATCATAACCTACCTCTACAGGTGTGTCATCATAGCCTACCTATACAGGTGTGTCATTATAACCTACCTCTACAGGTGTGTCATTATAACCTACCTCTACAGGTGTGTCATTATAATCTACCTATACAGGTGTGTCATCATAATCTACCTCTACAGGTGTGTCATTATAATCTACCTCTATAGGTGTGTCATCATAGCCTACCTATACATGTGTCATCATAATCTACTTCTGCATGTGTGTCATAGCCTACCTATGCATGTGTCATAATAGCCTACCTCTACAAGTGTGTCATCATAATCTACCTCTACAGGTGTATCATAATAGCCTACCTCTACTGGTGTGTCATCATAGCCTACCTATACATGTGTGTCATCATAGCCCACCTATACTTGTGTGTCATCATAATCTACCTCTACATGTGTGTCATTATAACTTAACTCTACAGGTGTGTCATCATAATCTACCTCTACAGGTGTGTCATTATAGCCTACCTCTACAGGTGTGTCATTATAGCCTACCTCTACAGGTGTGTCATTACAGCCTACCTCTACAGGTGTGTCATCATAACCTACCTCTACAGGTGTGTCATTACAGCCTACCTCTGCAGGTGTGTCATCATAACCTACCTCTACAGGTGTGTCATTACAGCCTACCTCTACAGGTGTGTCATTATAATCTACCTCTACATGTGTGTCATCATAACATACCTCTACAGGTGTGTCATCATAATCTACCTCTACATGTGTGTCATCATAACATACCTCTACAGGTGTGTCATCATAACCTACATCTACAGGTGTGTCATCATAACCTACCTCTACAGGTGTGTCATCATAACCTTCATCTACAGTAGTGTCATAATAGCCTACCTATACATGTGTGTCATCATAACCTACCTATACATGTGTGTCATCATAATCTACCTCTACAGGTGTATCATAATAGCCTACCTCTACAGGTGTGTCATCATAGCCTACCTATACATGTGTGTCATCATAGCCTACCTATACTTGTGTGTCATCATAATCTACCTCTGCATGTGTGTCATTATAACTTAACTCTACAGGTGTGTCATCATAATCTACCTCTACAGGTGTGTCATTATAGCCTACCTCTGCAGGTGTGTCATCATAACCTACATCTACAGGAGTGTCATCATAACCTACCTCTACAGGTGTGTCATTATAGCCTACCTCTGCAGGTGTGTCATCATAACCTACCTCTACAGGTGTGTCGTCATAACCTTCATCTACAGTAGTGTCATAATAGCCTACCTATACATGTGTGTCATCATAACCTACCTATACATATGTGTCATCATAGCCTACCTCTACAGGTGTGTCATCGTAACCTACACCTACAGAAGTGTCATAATAGCCTACCTATACATGTGTGTCATCATAACCTACCTTTACATGTGTGTCATCATAGCCTACCTCTACAGGTGTGTCATCGTAACCTTCATCTACAGTAGTGTCATAATAGCCTACCTATACATGTGTGTCATCATAACCTACCTATACATGTGTGTCATCATAGCCTACCTCTACAGGTGTGTCATCGTAACCTACCTCTTTCACAGTGTTGAAACGATTCTTGTAGAAATCATCCTTCCTCCAGCAGGGTACATCTTGCCCTATCCAGGGGATGTCTGTCAGGTATGGAGCCTTTACTCCCAGATTTGTAAGACAAGGCAGGTTTGCGATGTCATGGACCAATTGCTTCTTTTCAACTCGGGGATAGTACAGACAATTTCCCTAAACATGAGAAAATAAACAAATAAACAGACTATTTCAAATTAGAACAGTGACAGGTCAGTAAGCGCCCTGTATCTGCCTGACTGTATATGCCCCTATAATCACCAAGCAGAAGTAACATACAGCAATTATTTGAGATTTGGAAATATAGATAATAGTCATGACAAAGTACGTATTTCAGCAAACTACAGTTATATCACCAAGTATGAATCATACTAACAGTTATATCACCAAGTATAAATCATTCTAACAGTTATATCACCAAGTATGAATCATACTAACAGTTATATCACCAAGTATGAATCATACTAACAGTTATATCACCAAGTATGAATCATACTAACAGTTATATCACCAAATATGAATCATACTAACAGTTATATCACCAAGTATGAATCATACTAACAGTTATATCACCAAGTATGAATCATACTAACAGTTATATCACCAAGTATGAATCATACTAACAGTTATATCACCAAGTATGAATCATACTAACAGTTATATCACCAAGTATGAATCATACTAACAGTTATATCACCAAGTATGAATCATACTAACAGTTATATCACCAAGTATGAATCATACTAACAGTTATATCACCAAGTATGAATCATACTAACAGTTATATCACCAAGTATGAATCATACTAACAGTTATATCACCAAGTATGAATCATACTAACAGTTATATCACCAAGTATGAATCATACTAACAGTTATATCACCAAGTATGAATCATACTAACAGTTATATCACCAAGTATGAATCATACTAACAGTTATATCACCAAGTATGAATCATACTAACAGTTATATCACCAAGTATGAATCATACTAACAGTTACAGAATTATTTAAGGTCTAAGCCAATAAGAAGCAGCAGTGGCCATGTTGGATTATGGGATGAGGGTAATATCTCTAAATTCATCATGTAGACTTTCTGCTAAGTACCATATACCACCAAGTATAAACAATATCCTACAAATAGAACAGATTTTGTAGTCATATATGTCTCATACATTCAGAAGCAACGAGAGGTGCCATCCTGAATATAGGTAACTGGGAAACATAATAGCGTATTCATGTAGGATAACCACCATATTTTAGATCTATTGACCACATAAATGAACACCGGTCGGTCAAACGAACAATTTAAAACAGTATTTTGTAGGGCTGTATACTATAAATGTAGATATTTAACTCTGAAACGTATTGAGTTTTGTATTTTCACCTGAGTGTGAAGGACTTCCATAGCCTTGCACATTCCACTGTGTCCACCACTGGGGTCAATCTGCTGGACTGTCTCCGCTGGAAATACCTTTTGATCCTTAAACACTTCTATAGGAGAAAGGACGGTTGGGAATTTCGCATTCACTACAGCATCAAAGACTGAAATTGTTTCTTGAAAAAAGCTGGTGCAATGCCATGGGAACATCTTTCTCATAGTACCCCCGGCTAACTCGAGGAACGAATCCTTGCTCTTACTCTGTTCAAAGAAAAACATAATTCACTTTACCGGTAAGTATGGAACCCCTCGAATTCGCATGGACGTGACAACGTGCCACAGGAAACATGTCATTGTTGCTTGCCTCCACCCGACCCCCCACATCTCAGTAACAAATAACCAATAGGGATATGTAAGCTGGTGACCTTAATATGCAAACAAAGGGCCCAGAGGGTCTGTAATGCTCCAATAGTCCACCATACTGTATTGGGTTCCATTAGTTTTATAAAATATCAAAACGAGAGGAACTCTTTGATTATTTTGAATTGAAGAAAATTTTGAATCCCTGTTATTATAATGTATATTGATAACAAAATTAACAATCACGACTTATTCAAGTTTGAATTCCGATATGTGATTTCTAATTATACAAACCTAGTGAATAAAACATTGATGTCAAACATCGTCGGAAACGAATGAAATGCACACAACATGATAATGACGCTAAAACAGAATAATGGTACATGTGCTTTATAATTATACTGCCGTTATAATCCTCTAATGATCTGACGTCACACAGACACCTGTATAATCACAATGATATATAGGTTAAATACTCAAGTTTTGAGTGGTCAGGGATACATCAGAGTTAAAGGAACACGAGGTATTCGAGCAATGGCAGTTCCAGTAATCAGAGATTCGAGTAATGCAAGTTCGAGTAAGTGGGGTTTCTCTATAGAGGATTGAATCTTTTTATAATTGCTTTCTTACCAAATCTGTGGTCAGTAACGCTTGGCAGCTGTCCAGGACAGCATTAATGGTTGTTGGCTCATTAATAGTTTTCTGAAAAGGAGAAAAAAAAATAACAGCTATATAACCCTGGCTAATAATGATGTCTCACTAAATACAATGGAATAATACAAAAATACATATTTCATGTCAGTCAGGTTATAAGTCTACACTCACTACTATACCCCTTACACTGATCAGGTTGTATCACTATACTCAGCAGTCTTATAGGGACAAGTTGGCCTTGTTCTGGATGAAATATACCCTTGCCCCTTAAAATGCTTTTTGTGGATTGCTATTTTGCAAACATAATATACAGTTAATACAGAAAAAATTTATACAGCTTCCTATCATTGAGATATATCCAGAAATAAAACTAGCTATAAATTACTTACTAAGATTTGTCGTTTTGAGGTCGTCTTGTTGCCCAGCACTGTCTGGACATTGTCCACCAGTGTTTGACCGATGCCCAGCTGTATCTGAGCCTCAAAGTTATCATGCTCCTTTATCATCTTTTCATCTTGATTTCTATATATAAAACAAATGTACCAAACTGATCATGATGACCACCATACACCTACTGTTACTGTCCTGGTTCAGTCTATCTACTGATTGCTGTAGTCATATCCAACCACGGTCAAAATACCAAACTAGATTTAGGATTCTCTCCCCTTAATGCACAGGAAGAGCCTGAAACTCGGTCAAAAATTACTAACATTTTTCAAGCATATAATAGGTATATTTTCAGTATGGTACTGTTATTATTTTTTGACAGAATTTAAGGCTCCTGTGGACTTTTGCAGTGTCAAGACAAAAGTTTGAAACATTTTACAAAGTTGTGGAAAAAAAGAATGTAACCGACCAGATAAATATCCAAACTGCTGCAATTGGGTTTAGAAGCTTACAGAATAGTGTAAATGTGAGTCTAGTCTGGTCAAAATCTCCTTATCAGAGGACAAAAAAGCGCCCCAATAACCTACAATTCTGAAGGGTCAGGGGCCCATGATATTTCGCCTCGTGTTATTCGATGCAGTGGTAGAGAATAGCTCTATTAATTGCTTCTTCAAACCCGCATTGATAAGATCAAGTTTAACCCAGGAAGGGCATCTATACAGCAAATACACAATAAGTCAATATGCCCATATCAACACAATCATTCAAACAATCAATAAACACAAACAATGATTTGAATAATCGATAAATGTAATAGTGGTCATCGTTTTTAATGCTTTCACTTTAAAGGCTCAAACTCCGACCCTTGGTTTAATTACTGGTCTAACTCTCTCAAACAATTCCTTTGAGCCAGGTTTGTAAGAAGCATCTATTACTTTACCAGGATGACATTATCTCACCTAAAACAGTGATGCTTGTTAAGAGCAAGGTTGGGTAAACATTAAGAGGTATATAAATATGTAATATGGATATTATTTTTACTTACCCTCTATAGGTGATGCTGTTAGCAGCGATGTGGGTGTGCCAATCTTGTAAGATTTTAAACACCATCTTTTTCATCTCAACTTCACTACCCGCCTTGCCTAAGTTGCCCAGTACAAATACGTTTTCTGGATACTGCAACAGAAACAATGATGAGAATTTGGAGATTTTTTGAAATTTACAGTTATGAATTTTGTTTAGAATGGCTCATTTTTAGGCTTGTCACATTATTATGCAAAATTAATGTTTGCGTTCACGTTATTTACTTGCAAAATTGCGAAAACATCATCCCTGTGGAAATAATTACTGCTATTTGGTAGTTACCGGTAATATTATTGTATTAAGTGGAACTGTAAAACCTTGTACATCATCTAACTCAATAGGTTTTGCATTATGATTTCTACAAAATAAGGGTCAAATATAAGGTTTGAGTAAGCAACATATGTTACCCTCAATACATAATTTAAAGCATTTCTAATATGACAGAAATAGTTATTTAGTCTGATCAGTCGATAGTTTACCTGCCCAATGATAGACATGATCTGTGCTGCTAGCTTCTTTGCTGTTTTGTCGTCTGTGTTGGAGAACGGCAGTACAATGACACAGCCGTTACTCAGCACCCAGTTCTCACAGCCCTGTTTAAAGGGAAACAAGCACAGGATTTAAGGTCAAAAGGAGTAAGTTCTCACAGCCCTGATTAAAGGGAAACAAGCACAGGATTTAAGGTCAAAAGGAGTAAGTTTTCACAGCTCTTGAAAGAAAAACACATACAACATTATTAAGATCAAAAGAAGCAGATTCCTCTACTTTTACGGTACAGATTTTTGTTCAATATCAAACACCTATTATTATGATTTATAAATCAGGCACACAGATAATTGTATTAATATAACCAATGTGCTCAGAGACATTTTTTTCAAAATAACCATTTTATTATTTAAAATGTCCAACTTCAACTGGGTGGCTGGGATAGACTATGATAAGTGGTTCTTATTTCTATATCAATGAATGTTTACCAAATTATTACCAATCAGAGCTTTGGTATATAGACCTTCTTAAGATTTTAATAATACATAAAGAACATAAAGAATTTTCAATAAAAATTCATAATGTTGAAAATGTTCCTTATTTCGTCATAAGTTATTGACAGTTGTAACAGACTTATTTGTGTATAAATCTGTTATATATATTCTGCTATATGCTATACACAAAAAACACTATTCTTCTAATAAATCGAAATGTCGCAGAGAATTACACATTAGTTCCCCAGAAGACACCCAGCATTAGAAATCTGGTAAAACTTGCTTTAACAGCTTATAATTTTGAACATTAAAAGTATGAAAATGGTTGTTGAAGGAATATCCCTACCGTTCCTGTGACACATTCAAACACGTTGTACTTTTGCTGTGTATTTGGGTCAGGCATCCAGGCTTTCTTTACAGAAAATATGTCACCTTGCTTTGAGGCCTCCTGGGTAAACATCCACTGCCCTTTCTTTGTGTCTGCTTCATGTAGGACCACCAGCTTGGTGAAGTTGTAGTTCACCAGCTGGAGCTCTTTGTCTGTGTATGTCAAAACAATAAGTCACAATATAAAAAGACACATGTGAAACGGGGATAGGCATCATATCTAAAACTGTGACAGGTAACACAATAGAAACTGGGACAGGAACCACAACAGAAACTGGGACAGGAACCGCAACAGAAACTGGAAGAGACACCATCTCTGGAACAAGGACATGGACCACAACATAACCGAGGATAAGGAGGGACCACAGCAAAAACCAAGACAGGGACCACAACAGAAACCAAGACAGGGACCAAAACAGAAACCAAGACAGGACCCAAAACAGAAACCAAGACAGGACCCACAACAGAAACCAAGACAAGGACCACAACAGAAACCAAGACAGGGACCACAACAGAAACCAAGACAG